GCTATGAGTCGGTTCCGACTCGATGGAACCTGATAACAACAACAACAGTAATTCAAAAATCAGAGCAACCAGACAGATTCAATGTGCTCAGCTAGTCAGAGGCAGTGCTGGTCATAGTGGGCTGATAACCACAAGGTCAGTCGTTTGAATCCATCAGCTGCTCTGCAGGAGAAAGATGAACTTTCTGCTCTCATAAAAATTTACAACCTCATGTAGCACTGTAGGATAGGCATTCAACTGCAAGGTCAGTGTGAACCACAAGGTTGGCAGTTCAAACTCACCAGCCACTCCTCAGAAACCTTATACAGTGTTATTATGAGTTGGTTTGGACTCTAGGTGGTGCTTTAGGATCAGCAGTTCAAACCCACCAGCTGCTTCTCAGAAACCATATACAGGCTTGCTATGAATTGAAACCAACTCGCTGACACTTAACAACAACAGCATGAGTCAGATTGGCATAGTGACAAAATCAATGGGTTCGAGTTTACTATGTGGGCTCAAGTGTAGCAACTATGTGAGGTTGGCCCAGGATCGGGCAGTGTTTCACTCTGTTGTGTGTAGAGTTGTTATGAGTCGATACCCACTCAATGGCATCTAACCACAACCTGTGTTGGAATTGACTCGATGATACAGAACAGCAGCATCAACAGAAAAAATATTTGATTAGCTAACTTATGTAAATTCTTTTCATTAAATCAGTAAAAACATGCTTCATGAAAGCCTTAAATCAAAAGCAATTGGTTGAGGAAGGCTGTGGTCTACAGCTGGAATCCTAATTCCATTTTGAGCCTTGACTCCATTTTAAGTTTTCTGTTTTCCAACACTTCTGACCATTAAATCACCAATGTGACCATACTTAGACAAGTCCCTGGAAGTCCAGGGAGAGGCAATGTGCCCTGAGGAAGACTAGTTTATTGATGTTCCTGTTGTTACTGCCTTTGAGTTGATGGCATCTAACAACAACAAAGAAGACCATAGAATCGATCAATTACGGTGTTGGAGGAGAATGTTGAAAAATGATTGCCAAAAGAACAAACAAATGTTGGAAGAAATGCAAGCAGAATGTTTCTTAGAAGCCAGAATGGCTAGATTTTGTCTCTCATATTTAGGCATATTATCAGGAGGGACCAGTTCCCAGAGGACAACATGCTTGGTAAATTGGAGGGTCAGCGAAAAAGAGGAAGGCCGGGAACGACATGGATTGGCACAGTGGCAGCAGCAATGAGCTCAAGTGTAGCAACGATTGTGAGGCTGGCACATGACCGAGCAATATTTAGCTCCGTTGTGCATACAGTCACTCTGAGTCTGAACGAACTCCATGGCACCTAATAACAATATTAGTCAGACCGTACACCACATTAACACCAACCCCTCCCAGCAGCTTCCGCCCCCTACCCCAGTCACGTGAGGAACACACAACAAGCTCCTCCTTTTCCCTCCCAGACCTCCCATTGGCTGCTGGTCAGGATATCCTGTCCAAAACGGAAGTCCTGCCACAGGCACTCTTGTCCTGCCACAGGCACTTTTGTCGGTGCTGCAGAGTGGCCAACAGCGCAGCGAGTCGGTTCACGTGCCTAGCTGGCAGTGACTTTCTGATTTTGCGGGGCTTACTTACCACCACTGGCCTCTGAGAGCAGCCGAAACTGACAGACAATGAGGACGCTTGGGCGACGCTTAGCAGCAGCGGTGGCAAGCAACTTTGGGGCCGGGGGCGGGGCGGGGCACCAGCCAAGGACAATCAGGTGAGGAGCTGCCCCAGCCCCAGCCCCCCTGGCCCCTTCCCTGTGCCTGCTTCGTGCACTCACCCTTCCGCCGCCCCTTCCCCCACTGCGGGTCCTTCTCGGGGAACCCAGCCCAGCCACATGCCCCTTGGGCACCCTGTGGAACCCAGCCCGGACCGGTCCCCCGACCCCTGCACACCCTCACTAGGGGCCCAGGCCCAGTCTAGCTCCCCTGCAGACCCTCCTGGGGGGCGCAGGGCCCCCTGCATTCCCTCAGGTCCTTCTGGGGACCTCAGCCTAGAGCCCCCTGACTCCACTGGGGACCCCTGAGAGCGGGCCAGTACCACTCCCCCTCCGGGGTACCCGTTCCTTCTCTGCCCCTGAGACCCTCTCCCCACTGGGCCCCCAGCTGCCCTGTCTTCTTTAAGCCTGGCCTGATTTGAGTCCAGCCGCCTCTTTTCTCAAACCCTTAGCCCTGGTCCAGCCCTGGCTTGCGTCCCTCATCGGCTGGTCTGACCCTGTTGGGGGGCCCAGCTCTCCGGGCCTGCCTCTCTGATCCTGAGACCTCAGGGGCTCCCCACTGCTTTCAGGCCCTGGTCACAGCCCCTGGGACCCCAGTGCCGGCAGACCTGACTTTCTCACTTTCAGAACCTCTTCTCTCACCTGGATTCCCCACATCCTCAGACACCAGACCCCTGCAACTCCCTTCACCTCCCCTCTGCTCTGACCCTTTTTCCCCCTGGAAACCCCATTCGCATGTCCTCTTTTCCCCCAACCTAGGCCTTCCCAGTTCATCCAGCCTCCCCTCAGACCCGTGAAACCCCCCAGGAGCCCTTTCTAAGGCATCTGTACCTTCTGGTCCCCTCACAGCCAGCCCCCATACCCCACTGTCTGCCCCATAATTTCATTTACTTTCCCCGTCTCAGAGCCACCATCCTGCCAGGAACCTCACTCTAAACCCTGGGGTCTTCCACCTCCAGACAACCCCTCATGGCACAGGGATTTAGGCCGCTGCACTATCCGGGAAAAGAGCATAGTGTCCTTGACTGAGGACATTGGGAGAGCACCTTTCTCTGCCCACTTCTTCAAGCTCAGTGTACTGGACACGGAGCCTGGGGTGGTGCCTCTCTGGTCTCCTCGGTCCAGGTTGAGGGTGCTGCATGTCTTCCTGTCACGGCCTCACCCACTTCTCCACTTCTCAGCCTGGCCGTTGCCTGTCATCACTTTCTGTTGGATGTGGGGACCTGGAAAACTTGGGGGAACCTGGGGACCACAAACAGGTGGCTGGGCCACAGGAGCTCACCGTCGACCTATGAGAAGTTGACACAACAGGCTGCATGGCTGTCCTGAAGGGCTCCATTGTCCTCAGGTCTCTACTAAGATCCTGTGCCTGGTCCCTCAAGGCTGTGAGACAGATAGTGGGGTCCTGCCTGGTGTCCGTAGGCTGGTCTTTCCCTCTTTCAGGGGAAGCACAGGTACAGAGGACCAGAGCTTATGACTCTCGCCCACACTCCCAGCACCCAGGCACAGCCTCCTGCAAGTTAGAGCCTGACTGCTCCCACCATTGCTCTCCACAGCTTCTCAGATCCACCAGGGATTCTCCATTGGCCTCAGGAGTTTAGGGTAGAGTCCAGGGGGCTTCACTGTGTGTACTTGCAGTCCTGGGCACCAGATAGACCCTTCTCCAGTGCTGTTCACATGAATCCCATGAGGGCCCCGAGGACAAGGTACTGGGAGAGACCAGAGAAGAGGGGGCTGGACAACATGCAGGCATGTGGCATGATGGAGAGGAGGCAGGCCATCCACACCAGAAGGGCCAGTGGGCAGCTACAACATGCAGTCAATACAGCTGTCTCCAGCACCTGACTTCCTGTACGCTCCTGCCTTCTCAGGACAGAACAGAGGAGACTCCATGGACATGCTGGTCCCTGTAGTTCAGAAGAATGACTCCTTGTAAACTCACCTGATGCCTGCCTTTGTAACTTGACGGGAGGTCCTTACTGAGGTCCTCACTGAATCAGGTAGATGGTACTGTGTGGGCTAGGGAAGACAGCATGGCAGCCCTGACCTTGTGTTATCACAAGGAGAACATCCACAAGGAGAACAGCAAGTCCTTCCAGCCACACCACAAGGAGTCATGTGAGGACACCCAGAACAAGAGCACCTCCAAGGAGCCTGAATATACACAGCTAAGGACATTGCCAAACTGGGTTAGGATGAGCCACCCAGGAGGAAATGGCACCAGCGTGACCCTGAAGAAGACCCAGCTTAAGAGCCTGGCCTCCCTGAGGCAGAGTAGAACTGTGCTCCATAGTCTGTGACCTTTCAGAAGAGGCCCTGATGGCTTAGTGGGTAAGTGTCCAGCTACTTACAGGAAGTTCTGCACTTCATACCCTCCAGCTGCTCCATGGGAGAAAGATGAGGCTGGCTGCTTCTTGAAAGACTGTGGCCTTGGAAACCCTGTAGGGCAGTTCTACTCTATCCTGTAGGGTCATTAGGAGTCAGAATTGGCTCAACAGCACCAACAACATCTTGTATTGGACTAAAGAGTCCCTGGATGGTGCAGAAAGTTACTTCACTTAGTAAAATTGGGTTCACAGACAGCTGAAGGTTCTAGTCCATTCAAATGCACCTTGGGAGAAAAGCCTGGAGATGTACTTCTGACAAAGCACCCACTGAAAACCCTATGTAGCAACAAGGATACCCTCTATCACAACTCCTGTTCAGTGTTGTGCTGGTAGTCTTAGTAAGAGCTGTACAGCAGGAAAGGGCAAGAAATGCATCCAAATTGACAAAGAAGTAACACTCTCTGTTTGAAGATTCTTTACAAAGAAAATCCCAAAGACTCATCAAGAAAATTATTGGAACTCATTGAAAGATTCAGTGAACTGGCAGAATACAAGATCAATATACAACAATCAGTTAGATTCCTCTATACTAATAAAGATATCTCTGAATTGGAAATTAGGAAAAAAATACCATTTACAAAGTTACCCAGAAGATGAAATATTTAGGAATAAATATGGCCAGAGAAACAAAAACTTCAAAAAGAAAACTACAAAATACTACTACCAGAAACCAAAAGAGACATACAAAACTGGAAGAATATACCATGCTCAGTCATAGAAAGATTTAACTTTGTGAAAATGCCAACACTACTCAAAGTAATCTATGGCTGTAACAGATTCCGAATCCAGATTCCAGCATCATTCTTTAAGGAGATAGAAAAACCTCTTAATAATTTTATATGGAAAGGAAAGAGACCCCTGAACAAATAAAGCACTACTTAAGAAGAACAACGAAGTTGGAGGCCTCTCACTCCCTGATTTCAAAATTTACTGCACACCCACAGTGGTCAAAACAGCCTGCTATTGCTGTAATGAAAGAAGTCTAGATGAATGGAACAGAACTGAGAACCCAGAAGTTAATCTATCCACATAGAGTCAGCTGATATTTGACAAACAGCCAAAACACATTAAGTGGAGAAAAGTTAGAGTCTCTTAAACAAATGCTTCTAGCAAAATTGGAAATCCAATTGAAAATAACTCATGTCTCACACCATAAACAAATAAACAAACAACATATATTAAAGATCTAAGTGTACAACTCAGGTACATGGTCATAAGTGAAAAAATAGGGACAAATTGCTTGTTAGGTGCCATCAAGTCTGTAGCAACTCGTAGTAACCATATGCACAACAGAACGAAACACTGCCAAGTCCTGGGCCAACCTCACAACTTTTGCCAATCCATCTCGCTGGGGGTCTTCCTCTTTTTCTCTGACCCTCCACCTTAGCAAACCTGATATCCTTCTCCAATAACTGGTCCCTCCTGACAATATGTCCAAAGTATGAGATATGAAGTTTAGTCATCCAGGCTGCATTTCTTCCAACACAGATCTGTTGATTCTTTTGGAAGCCCACGGCACTTTCAATATTCTCCTCCAACACCATAACTCAAAAGCATCAATTCTTCTACAGTCTTCCTTATTCACTGCCCAGCTTTGGCATGCATATAAGGTTATTGAAAATACCATGTCTTGGGTCAGATACACCTTAGTCCTCAAGCTGACATCTTTGCTCTTCAACATTTCAAAAAGGTCTTGTGGAGGACTTCTGGTTTAGGCAGCAGTAGTGAAAGTCAGGTAGGGAAGGCTCCATGGTGGAGGGATGGGAAACTCACACAGGAAGTGCTCACAGAACAACTCCAGAGCTCCAGATCTACCATAAGGTCCAGAACATCAGTTTCCTGCACTCAGAAGTGAAAACATCATGATATTAAGGAAAATACTGTGAGCTAGGAATCTGGAGATGGGACTCCCTCTGTGGCCACCCAGCCCTGGCAGAGTTTAGAGAACAGGGCTACAGCCAGTCAGGTTCAGTGAATTTGCTCTAAAAGTGGTGCAGGGATACTTGCAAAAAGAGGCACAGGAGACTCTACACATTTCTCCCACCTCTTCCCGGTTGTGCCTTCTTTGCTCAGCCAGGATGCCATCAGGCGGGTGGGTGTGCACCTCCAAAAGACAGTGCTGACCTCACAGTTTCCCCACTGCACAGAGGGAAGGAGCTTGGTGGCTACTAATGACATCAGCCATGGAGACACAGCCCTAAGATTGAATTGTGCAAGACCCTTTGTGGCTGTGTACTGTGGAGTCAGTTCCAACTCCAAGAGACCCTGTATGGGGTTTCTGGGGATGTGGGTCTTTGCAGGAGCAGAGCGCCTCACCTTCCTCCCACTGTGCAGCTAGTGGTTTCAAGCTGCTGACCTTGCAGTTTGTGGCCCCATTTGTGGCCGCTGCGCTACCTGAGCTCCATGTGCAGGACCTTTATAAAGCAATCTGTAAAACCCCAACATAAAAGGGATCACCCATCTCAAGAATTGTGCTGTGCACACACAGACACCTAACTGACCTTCAGAGACAAAAATAGTGGACAATCTTTCTCCCGTTAACTTCTCAATACTACATGTGCACCTCTACTGTAGTGACTAGAGGAGGGGCCTGAGTGAGCAGACACTCTCACCCACTGCTGGAGGCTTCTACCTTGCACACACACTGCCTGTGAAGCATGGGATAGTCGAGCACAGCTTTATTTATGTTCCAAAGTGGTGGTATTTGTCTCTACATTTATATTACTTCTGCTTTTGGTCTTTTTGAACACACATCTTTCCTGGAGGTGGGAGCTTTTTCTCCTTTCATTACCCGAGAAGAGACAAGCAATTGTGGCCACATAGCCAAGCTATAAGCATATCCCATAATATTCCACCACTGAGACAAGAGCCAACAACACCTGCTAAGCATTACATGCAAAAAGGGAAGCCTGTCTCCTGATCATATTAACCAGGAGATAGCCAATAAGCCTAATAACAAACAACAAAAATATCCAGTTAAGCATTAGAAAAACACACATAACTATTGGATATGATGAACAAGAAACAAAAAAAAATATCAAAACATGTCCCAAAACAGAAGAGAGTAGCTGAGACAAATGAGCTTGAGACAGACAAAGGCTTTCTAGAAGAGGAAGAACAGGTTTTGGATATGCCTGAGAAAGAATTCAGAATGATATGGAAACAAATTGAAATGCTCTGAAAAGGAGTGGAGGAAAACAAGGAAGAAGTCCGGAAAGTACTATAAGAGCAATAAAATAAGTTTGATACAGCATTGGAAACAATTCAAAACCTGCAGAAAGAGGTCTAGATGATTAATAAGATATCAGAAATGGGCAATACACTGAAAGGAGAAAGGAGCAGAATAGAACAGATGGAAGCCAGAACTAGCGATCTGGAAGACAAATCTCTCAATATTGCTAAGACAGAAGAGCAAGCAGAAAAAGGGATAAAATCTGAAGAGAGTCTACAATCCATGCAGGATAGCATGAAGAGGAACAATGTAAGAATTTTTGGCATTCTGGAACAGGAAGAATCAGAGAAGTCCACAGAGGAGATAGTTGAAGAGCTTCTGGAAGAAAATATCCCTAAAATCTTGAAAGATGAGGAGATAAACATTCAAGAAGCTGAAAGTACCCCAGGTAGGATAGACCCCAAAAGAAAATCACCAAGACATATAATCATCTAGCTCTCCAAAATCAAAGACAAGGAGAGAATACTAAAAGTGGC